ACACACACACACACACATACATAAATACATACATACACAAACTTTATATATATAATATATATTCACACATAAACAACATATCACCATCTTATTTTGTAAGTTGCCCAAACACCCTCCTGCAGCTCCCTGTGCCTAAAAAGAGTGATTAGGGCCTGGCTGTGCTTCGCTCACAAGACTGGCCAAACAAAATTGCAATTTTTGTGACCGTGCGAAACACTCACACACTGTATATGAATTCCAACTGTGTGTTCAATTGCCTGGAGTTCAGTTTTAGGCTCATTCAAACCATATCAGTACTTTCATTTCTCAATGCCAATTCTGTTTGATTTAGGAAACAATTATTTTATAACATTTGTCTAAAATTAACAAATGAATATAACCAAAACAAAATCATAAAAGAATTGTATTAACATTCATTAGTTAGGGAATCATGTTCGAATTTATTGGGAAGTGAATGGCTAGCACATAATAACATTTATGTAATTGTCCCCGTCAAACAAATATACCAGCGGTAACCTTTGCTGTGACTGGCAATACACTGTGCTATCAGCATTATGAACAGAACTGGGTAGTTTACTTAAGTGCAAGCATTCAGCGTCTAATACACCTTGAGCTGCATGATAAAAGAGGCCAAGGGTTGCCTTTCCTCACACTTTCCAAGGAAGTTCCTGTGGTTGGCTAGATTTATTGTTTTACTGCCAGTGTGTGTGTCAATCTCTAAAACAAATCTGTCACATGCAAGGCAAGATCACAGTGGGAGTGATTTGCAAACAATAGAACAAAGAAGACTAAAATATTTTTTGCAATTGATCAGATTCCATACTTAAAAGAGAACTATGGGGTAAGTGTTTTTCCCCATAGTCGTCGTAAGGGTCATGGGGGGACATATACCCAAAGCTCAGTATATTGCGAGCTACAGATTGGGGTATACTGAGACCGCCGCAGCTGGGACAGATCCCGACATTGCTATTGAGATACACACAGCTGCGTGAATGACAGCTGACTCTGCCTATCTAGAGGCCAGTCAACACTGGAGGACCAGAGCGGGTAGGGGGGGAATCCATGCAAGGAGCCGATCGAGAAGTGACAGTCACTGCTCTCTGCAGGGAGATGATCGAGAAGTGAGCGAGCAAACGGTATGTGTTCGCTCACTTCCCGATCTATTGAGCCAACGTGTGACAGTTTCATTGTCACACGTCGGCTCAAACTATGAGGATGAGTGATTTTCACTCACCCCATAGTTCTCATTTAATTTGAAAATGATTCTGGTTGGCTCTTGTATGCAGCTATAGACTAGGCATGAGCTCAGGTTCTAACCGTACCCGGTCTGAACCTGAGCTCCTCCAAACACAGAGGGAAGCTCCTTTCACTGCCGCCCAATCAGCTTTGGCTGGGGAATTCCCCACCTGCAGGTTTATGGAAGCAAAGAGACAGGAAGCAGCAACATTGTACTGGTGACATTGACCATATTTAGCCACATGGCTATATTTGGTCAATGAAGTTTACCTTAATTGGCCATGTGGCCATATAAGATCAATGATGTCAGTACAAGCATCACACCACTTTGTTTATGTGCCATTGTGATGCAGGGAATGCCCCGGCCCCCAGATGATTGGACAGGTACCCCCATGCAGCTTCTATGGTTCAGAGGAACTTGGTGTTGGACCAGGTTAGCTCTGAACCTGAGCTCATCCCCACTATAGATTGTAGAGGGTTGTGTAGACATGATCCAACTTCTCTAAAGTAAATCAATAATAAAAATCTGACAGGAGATTTAGGCTTCCCTTGCTCTACTAAGGGCTTATTCACAGCAGCCCTATTGGGCTGCATTGGGCAGCGTTGCCCAAAGCAGTTCCCTGCATTGGGCAGCGATGCCCAATGCAGTTCCAACACATAGGCAAGACTGTTTGCCTTATGTCCTATTTCCCCTGCTCACACCAAATATGCTGCAGTAGGATGCTCTGGAAAAAAAATAGGACTTTTTGCATTTTTACACAGTGCATTCTTACCCACTAGCACACATCACAATGTCACATCATAACACAGGCACTGGGATATATTTTACAATGCATTCAATGCACAATGAATACCCGCAGGCATGGCCATATATATAATATATATAATATGCTATGAAGAGGTTTGTATTTGGCATTTTGCACATTAGAGTGGATAATGGTCAAGGGAAGGGGCACTTTCATGTAGCAGCCAGCTTTACAGTGTAATAGAATATATGTAAACTAAAAATCTCAGTTTTTATGCAAAGATTTGCAGGATATTCTAAGTCTGCAGAGGGTTAAATGGGAAGTGCGTGTTCAGTTCCTGTGCAACCTACAGAGGGCAGCAATGAAAAAGGTGTAGTGCTGGAATTTGTTTACCTGTGTGAGTCCTCACATGTCTCTTCAGATCAAATGTGTCATTGAACCCTTTGCCGCAGAAGTTGCAGAGGTGTCTTTTAACCTGGTTATGGCACTTGAGATGACGATTAAGCATGCGCTGCAAGCGGAACCCTTTACCACAGATGTCACAGCTATAAATATCCTCGCTGAGTGTTCCGGTGGTGACCTAAAACAATGGACAAATAAATGTGACTGCAACTAAACACAATGGTGTCCTGTGGATCACAGGGAATGTTACATATACTTTATACATACTTTATTTCCATTATTATAAACATGTTCATAATGTATGCTCATTTTTGGAGTGTTTCTCTATAACTCCCATAGAATAATTTAGGGAAGATGCAGATCATGTTCTTCCTTTGGCAGATATTTACCCTACCGCTTAATAAGCAGGGGTCATTGATGTATAGATGCCTACGCTGATAGCAGTATCAGTACATGTCTGTAACACTATAATTATTTGCCTACCTTAATAATGTTTACTTTCTTTTTAAACTTTTATCTGGTACACAGTTTTATAAAATAATCTGATCAGTTATTTTACCTTTCAATGGGACTCCTTCTGCACTGCAAGGGTTAAATGCTTGTTCATGCCTAGGGTACCAATTATAAGGAATGTTGTTTACTTGATCCCTTATTCTCCCAGCAGTTGGCACCCAACTTTCCTCCCTGATCCTCCAGCTCAGGGTAGTCCCTCGGCATCCTCATGTTCAATGTAAAGCTATTGGCCCAGCATTGTACATGGTGATGTCACAGTGCCTATGACCATCTATGACCATCTGAGGCTGCAGGACCCAGTTGCATAGTATGGAGGGAGCCTACAGGACCAGGATTAGGTAAAAAAAAAAGAGTCCTTGATATTGGTACCTTAGGATTAAACCAACATTTAACCCCTGCATTATGAGAGGACACCACTGCAAGGGATTTGTTTTGTTTTTTCCCCATGGAGTTCGGGTCATATAAGGAGAAGTATATGGAGAGTAAAATATACTTTTCCCAATACTTCGAGCCAGCGTGTGACATCGCAGCTGTCTCACACCAGCTCTATATACCGAGAGCTGAGCGATCACAAACCAATGATTGTCAGCCACTGCTCCCCACAGAGATTCCCTACCCTCTCTGTTCCTCCAGTGCTCATTGGAGGGGCAGACAGAGGAGGAAGCAGCATAGCTGAGTCTGGCTCTACAGAGGCAGTAAAACCTGACAATATTGTTGGGATCATTCCTGGCTGCAGTGCAGCTCTGTGCGGTCACACACTGCTTACATTTTGGTAGATATAATTGGAATACATCGGGTGTATAAATTACTTGTATAAAGTTTCTCAAAAATTTCTATACTGGGTGTACAGGAAGGAAGAGATGTGAAGGGTAATTGGAGTCGATGGTGGAGGGGAGGAGAATAGAAGTTGAGGATGTGGTGGTGAATGTGAGGTGATGGTGGAGAGGTGTTGGAAACAGGACCTGATGTTGGCATGGGTGAGATGAAAGGTAAAGTGTATCTTCAAGAACAAAAATGTAATACATATTGCAGCTTGCCAATCCTTAGATGTGGTGACTGCATTCGTCTTTTTTTCAGGCTTTTCCCGCCATTTGTGTTAACCTGGTGATCCTGCTAGTAACACACTTTCTGTCTTTTTCATGCCTTTTAAGTAGAAGCAGGGGAGCAGGGACATGTAAAAGAAAACACAATAGAACAGAGACAGGAGAGAAGGGGTTTTAATGAAGGGAGTGCAGTATACTTAGGAAAAAGAGGAATACAACATTGAAGAAAGAGAGCAATGAACTGTGAGGACTGAGGAGGTGAGCAGAAAGGGAGGTGGTGCATGCTTCCTGAGGAGGTAAGGCTCAATGTGTACAAGAATACGTAATGTGTGGAAGAATACTGCACACACTGAGCCTTGTGTGCACGAATACTGACTTGAATCAGGAAGTGCCCTTTCACTTCTACAGGATATTTTAATTATGCAGAACAAAATAACAATCTAGTAAAGAAACAGGGAAGTATGGAGGCTAGGTGATTAGCATTTTCACCTTTACAGGATTCTTGGTTCCTCACCAAACTTGCATTGAGTTTGGATGGCTGTCCTTGCAAAGCTAAAAAACTTGAAGGGCTTCTTTCTAACCAAGTCCTAATGTATATATGAATATCCATACACTGTCAATGGTAGCGGACAAGAAAGCAGGATTCCTCCATTGCAAGGTACACTTCTAAACATTTGGGTTTACCTCAGTGGAATGTAGTGCAGCTTATGGCTGCATAAAGGTAATAGACTCCTTTGATAGGAGGGACACATACAGGTAAAGTACAACTGAGGGCTCCTGCATGAGAATCTAAAGTACCAAATCCAGTTACTATGTAATGCACAAGCCTCAGGCTCCATCCACACTGGAGCGGTGGTTCACGTGTTTTTGGCTGTACGAATATGCGCAGAGCCGCCCCAAAACAGAAAAAAACAATGCACTTTAATGCTCATTGTTCAGACTATTGCAGAAACCGCACAGCCCCCAAAATAGTGCAAGCATGATAATACGGCAGATTCCGCATGTTCGCGACTAAATAATAGCCATTGTGAAGCAGAATCTGTCGAGTTGTTTCACGTACTGCGTTTCTGTCCTGTGCAGTGTGCCGCGTGGGGACACGCAAATGCTATATGTGAATGGAGCCTCATAAAGTACCTTTCCTGACTGAGCCAAATCCTGTCTGTCTCACGTGTTCCCCCTTTTAGACACTACAGCTCACAGTAGGAGCATCCCTGCAACAAAGGCAGTGCTGTCAGTCTAGAAAGCAGTGGCCAGGGTTAGGTGTGGCCAGATGCTGATTGAAAAGCTACAGGCTTATGACTCAGCAGTAACAATGCTAATAGTAATGCTACAACAATAGCATCAATAGCCATGCTACAACATTTTTTCATCCACTGTAGTGCAAGCAGGCAGAGCCTATAGGAGAGTGAAAACTCTGCTCTGAATTTACTAGCAGCGCAGAAACATTGCCACACCATCGCAGGAAGTTGCCTATGGTGGAACACACCGATAGGCTCAACAGGTATTTGTGGGACTTTGCAGCGGAACTAGGAGAGACCTCTATGTGCAGATGTACTTATCATTCATTTCTGCATTATTCCTTTTGTTTTGCAATGGCTTTAATTTTTTTTTAAAATAAGTCTCTTGTGAAATAGTACGGTACCTGCTCAAAACCGTGTAACAGTTCCTCTTTAACTTAACTGAGCATTGGATGGTAATTAAAAGGAAAACAAAGCTGTCACAGTGATCAAAGGCTCTTATACCAATGTTCATCCCCCAGCACCAATCTCCTGAAGTACTGAATGCTGTGTAACAAGTTTAAAAAGAATGTTTCTCTATACAAAACATTTAAAAAAATAAAACTCTGTAACTAAATAAAACTAAGCTCTTCAGAAGCACTGATGTTCTAATTGTGTTCTATACATGTAGCAGTTTCATATTAGCACACATAGATGAATAATGAATTAGTGGCTATCCACATATTACTTCCTCTACAAAATTATTGTAACTTATATTCTTAAAACCAAAAATAAAACATTGGGCATCCTAACATTAACATACTTACAAGCAAGAACAATGTGTTCACACTGTAGAAAGCTACAAAAGCAACTAGCAATACAAATCATTCTTATATAGCAGGAGCTACAAACAGGGCAATATATAAATGTGTGTGTGTTTCATAGATACCACTACATTATGTATAGTGAGTCAATATATTCAGGACTATATCATGGAATGGGACCAAATAAAAAATTAGCAAGGGGAATACATTAATAATACCCCTTTAGACATCAGAAATCAGTTATAAGTCTGTGACAGTTTGCACCATCATTGTTTAATAATAATTGCATGATTTTAATAAAATAAATTCTGTTTAAAAGTTCACAGTCAGTAGACAATCCATGCAAACTCTGTACAGCTAATTCATTAACCAAGTCCAATACAAATATGACTCACTGTACAAATACTGTACAACACATCGCAGACTTTTTTTATGAGCTGAGGTTCCGGTTTAATCTTAATTATGCAGAAATCCCTTTCCAATGGTGTGATTGACAAATATTTTCATTCTATACAGGTTTCTGGTGTTATTTAAGTTATTCTGTCATTTTGGTTTACATTGTTCCTTTACTCTTCTTTGTGCTTATTATTATTTCAATACATAAATATTCTGATTCTATACATTTTTCTAGTAATATCTTTAATTATTTTTTCTTTATTCATATTGTTCTTTTACCCTACAAAAATAATTCTATACATTTTTATAGTGATATTTATCATTATTTTTATTATTTTCTGTATACCTTGTTTTATTTCCCTACTCTGTGCTTAGAATTATTTCTACACATAATACATATTTTGCTTCTATACATTTTTCTAGTGATATCTATCATGTTTCTTTATTCATTTTTGTTTATGTTGTTTCCTGATTGTGCTCATTGCTCAGTATTATTTCTATACATATTTTTATATTCCATACATTTGCTAGTGCTATCCATAAACATTGTTTTTTCTTGTTTCATGTCGCTGCTTGGTATCATTTCTATGCATTCTAGACATTTAGAGATATTTAAATATTTTTGTTGACTTCACTAACTGAAAGGTCCAGTAGTGTTTAGGTTGTGATTTATTGAAGTAAACCTGTATTTGCTTTAAACAACTAATTGCATTCAGGGGGATTTTAAAGTGACACTTAACTCAAGAGTTAAATATTAACAAAGTATTCAAGTGCCATAACTATTAACAAAAATGTATCTTATTTGTGTATCACTCGGCTGTAGATCCTCAAATCATCTCTGAATTGGTGCTGGCACTGTCCTTCCTTCTGGAGGGTGACTACTTTTATTCCCCATGGTCCCTGTGTGTGTTGTAAAGTAGCCACCGCTCCAAGCTCGCTCCCAAAATAGACTACAATCTCACATTTAGTTTACTCATTTGCATTGCGACTGTAGTCTTATCAAGGGAGCGAGCTTGGAGCCGTAACTACTTTACAACACACACAGGGACCATGCAGAACAAAAGTAGCCACCCTCCAGAAGGAAGAACAGTGTCAGCATGAAGTTAAGCATATGCAGCCAAATTATGCACAAATAGCTACATGTTTGTTAATAGTTAAGGTACTTGAATACATTTTTAAGATTTAGCTCCTGAGTTTAGTGTCACTTTAAAAATAAGAATTTCTTCACAGGAGTGGATATTTGAAGCAAACTTACAGTAATCATCCCTAAGGTATATACTGCAGATGTTGTTCAGGAATAGTTGTCAGATAGATCTGTAGACTGACAACATGTTTTGCTCCTCCACAGAAGAACATAGCAATGTATTTCTAATTACAATGCAAGAGTGAAAGAGTTTGGAAATTTGCCCTAACCCTTAAGAAATGTTTTAAAAAGTACCTTAATTTTGGATCTGCTAGATGATCGCTTAAGGTCCAAAGCCTGTTCTTCAGCATTATCTTGGCTGCTTCCTTCTGCTTCAGGGGACAAGGCATCTCCACACTGGTCAAGGCCACTGGGGGTGGTGAGACTCCCATTACAGAGGCTGGAGTCACTGCTGGCCCTCTCTGGACTGTCGGCCACAGGGTCTCCTGCACTGCTACTGTTACTCAGGCTGTCCTCAGTCACATACTTGAAGATGCAGTCAATGCTGTCTGCAGACAAACACAGGAGGAGATGAGCTGATAACACAAAAAAGGGCTAGCATCACCTGCAGGGAACTGTTAGGCAAAACTTTTTTTCTTCCCTCTCCTTCTCAAATGAAAGGCAAATATGTAAAGCTGATCCCTTTTACCCAAGAGCAACAATCAGCAGAGAGAGGGAGGGAGAGGTGGTGGAGAGGGGGAGGAGGAGGCAGGTGAGTCTCCATTCCTCTCATTGCCGTGTTTGAACTGAGGGTGTAGCCTCGGAGTACAAGTCTCTCATTAACAAGTCAATGGCACAAAACAAACAGATAGGACGTGCTTTGGAAGTGATGGCGTGGACTTTTCCGTTAGATTGCGAGGGAAGGCAGCCTGATGTGCGCACAGTACCCAGATATCGCTGCCCAAAGCCTGAGCGGCGCTCACATGGCCAAGCGCACTCCTCTCTCTCTCCGATCAGCTCAAAGCATATAATAGAACTGCTGTGGGCTAAATGGGACCCTTTGTTTCCAGGACAGACACATGAGCACCATGCATGGCACCTGTGTCACTCCTACAAGAAAGGTCCCACTCTCCAGAACCCTGTGTACCCCACTATAACAGAATTATAGAATAATAAGAACTAGGTTCTAGAAGTCCACGGCAACCCAGTACACAGGCACAGTGTTACCTCTAGCAGATCATACACCTTATAACCTGATTGTACAAAAGTATAGACCACCCATGCAAGCTGTTATACAATCACACAAGCTATTAGTTGTTGGCACAATCAGATTGTATAACAGCTATAGACAGTACAATGATATAGACAAGCACAATGGTTATTTATAGTACAGGCTATAGGACTATTGTACCCCAGGGGGGCTTCTGATGGATTCTTCTTTTTACTGCAGGTTCATTCAGCAAATTCTACATCAGATATAAACTAAGATTTATTTCAAGCAAGCCTATAGATTGCCCAAGTCACAAAGCTTCAGATCCCTCTGCCATGACACTGCCATTTTCATTTCTTATTTCAAACAAGCTTACAGTTATTTCAAGTCACAAAGCTTCAGACCCCTATTATAAGCCATGGGACTACGATTTTTATGACTTATTTCAAGGAAGCCTACATTGCCCAAGTCACAAAGCTTCAGATTCCTCTATTAGCCATGGGACTATCATTTCCATGACTTATTTCAAACAAGCTTATAGTTAGTTCAAGTCACAAAGCTTCAGATCTCTGCATTAGCCATGGGACTACCATTTTCAAGGCTTTAAGCAAGCCTACATTGCCCAAGTCACAAAGCTACAGATCCCTCTATTAGCCATTTCCATGACTTATTTGATAATAACCGTTTTGGTAATAATGATCTTTATCCTGGTGTAAAGCTTTGAAAAATGAGCCTACAGAATAAAGGGGTACAGCCAGGTATAATACCCCAGAGATCACGTGACCCATTCCTGGGGGTACTTAGGGCATACTGCAATGAAATGGAGAAGCACTGATCTATAGGAACACTGCGAATAACTGTAACAGATCCATTAAATGCCAACGCAGAACGATCACATACCGATAATGAGAATTATGAGGTTACATAAATCTAAATCTGGAAAGAGAAGTACTATTTTGGCTCTGCATTGTCTACAGACTACAAGTCTGGTGGTGCCCTGACAGCTAGGATCTGTGTGGGCATGCTGAGACCTGTAGTTCCTCCCTATCTTGTGATGAGGGCAGAGGTGTGTACCTACCAGCTGTGGGCTCACCAGGTATGTAGGTGTCCGCTCTCTCCTCGTCCGGGAGCTCATCCCAGCTGCGGACGATGGGCGGTGGGGTTCTTCTCTTCACCAGGAAAGCTCTGGGCATGACGATCGCCGGGCTGTACGGGACTGCCGGAAAACTTTTCACCTGGCAGAGCTCTCCCCTTCCCCCTCCCGGTACAAGAATTCCTCTACCAGCCGCCAACGGGCAGTTGTGTACAGAAGAGGCGATCTGCTGTCTCCTCCGTTAGTCAGATCCACCCGGGAGCCCGAGCAACACCTTCCGAGGAAAGGTGGACATGAGCAGGAACTGGCGCTGGGAGCATGCGTGCTACAAATATAACGGTGTCAACAAGCCCTCCTTACCTGTCCGACCGGTTAGAGCAGCTCAGTCCTGCCCTGCCTCATATAGAGCTGAGTGTTTGCTGAAGAATGCTGAGACAAAGGCAGCCACCAGCAATGGCCCATTCACTGTCCTGGGGCAGCAGTCTCATCCAGACATGTCCCACAGGGAGCTATGACAGCCCCCCCTGACTCACCTTCAACCTGCAGGGGTGCTATGGGGGTATCCTGTCACTCTTACTTTTTATACTTGTTTTTATTTACTACAACCTCCCTCTTTGTAATCATTTCTAAAAACAAACAGGAGAAAAGCCACAGCCAACAAGAACATTTCTAACAGATGTCTGAATAAAAAGATACCGGTGTGTTCTGATTTCTACTTCCTACGTTTTATTGGTTCTTTTCTTATACAGAATAGACACATTTGTTTCAGAAACACAATATAGGGGTATAAATATATACTATACCTGATACGTACAATATACATAATACACATCCATATCTTACACCCTGATACACCATGGGGGTATATAGACATATATTTTATACAGAGGGAAAGACAGACATTTCTGTACACTGATCTTTGACACAATGTTTAGTTACATATTGTAATATTGTAAATATATATTGTATATAGATGGAAAGATTTCTGCTCACTGATTTTCGACACCAAGGTTCCTGCACGCTTAGTGTGAGTATACTGCTTGCTTATGAATAGGCGCGACCGTTATCTTGATGAATGGTCATCTTCATATGAACCCAGTCTGTGTATTCAGGAATGACAAGTCAGACCCAGTGGAATAGAATAAAGCTGAATTTGCACGTGTAAGTTCTGTATTGTTCCCGATAACGCAATCACATCTAGAGGTGTGCATGGTAAAATTGTGATCACCTGTCTTGTAGGAGTATTATTCTCTTTGCCCCATGCTGGGACCCCCCAGTGGGAGGCATTGTATAAGGATAGCTGAGTGTTTGGGGTAAGATAACTGTGGCTGATACTCCACCCAGCCATCTCCAGAGGCTGGGGACAAAGGGACATTGCACACAGGACCTTTATTCTTTCATTGGCTAATGGCAGTGACACAACGGTCTACTTATACTATGATAACAACCTCTGTGCAGACTTTGTCCCAGGTGGAATTCTTTTATAAACTCAAGGGCAGTACAGCTCATATCATGTAATAATTCTATACAATTCTAATTGTATAACTTATTCCTTGTTTGTATGTCAGCCAGAGGTCAGATGTAGACATAATCTTTCCTGATGGATCTTAGATCGAAACTCTAAAACTGATAAAATGCTTTTATGTAGAGCAACACTTTAAAGGCTAAGTCCACCTTTCCTACCATGCGCCATGTTATATCTTAGGGTGGAAAGTCAGGAAATCACCAGCACTCAGTAGTAAAGATAAATATGTCCCTTTTATTGGACAGAAAGCGTCACAGACATCCAATGGTTTATTTGGATGTCTGTGACGCTTTCTGTCCAATAAAAGGGACATATTTATCTTTACTACTGAGTGCTGAGATTCATTGACTTGTAGTTCTCAATCAAACACACGTGGTGACATCACCCCACTTGTAGTCCACTGATAACTTCCTCCAGCTCCATAACTGAATTATGATGATTGATGTTGCAATGCTCTGCAGGCAAAAAATAATAAATGCACAATATTGTTTTTCTTTTTACAATATGGGTGCATGTATTCACTTTTCTTTTTTTTGTTCTTCAAAAAAGTGCAGTATGCCTTTAACTGCTGCTGGCATTTTATTGCTTCAAGAACATATGGATTCTTGAGGCAGTAATCCCAGGTGTGTCCCTACAGATGTGTCCTCTGTGCCTGTTCAAGCTAATGACAGGCTGACAGCTGCCTCATCTGTGCCTGGCTGTCCGCAGATAACCGTACATGGTACCATTACCTGCGGATCAGGAGAGATGCTTGTCCCTGGACACAATCTGTCTGCATCTCTCCCAATCCACAGGTAATCGTTCCATGTACAATTACTTGCAAACAGCTATACGGACAGATTAACTTGAATGGGCACAGCAGCCACATCTGTATGGACACACTTGGGATTCTTGCCACTGGAATCCCTAACCGCAGCTTCAAATTCCATGTGCATGAGGCCTTAAGGTCAGTACAGATATAGTTTAAATGGTGTCTAAATCTAATAAGAAAATGAAATGTACTGCAAATTAGCTGTCATGAAAGGTGGTGGCTGCATTCGTTTTCCTTTTTTTCAGGGGTGATTGCTCCATTCACATTGTTGCGCTCTAGCGAGGATGGGGAAAAGTGTGATATTTTTGGTTCAACTGTGGGGCTGAATGAAAAAAATCTACAAATGTATGGCTAGCCATAAGGCCCATTCACGTCATAGCGATACATTAATCATATAATACCCATACATTCATGCACTACTTCTTTTATCGCAACGCACAGTATTGCAGTACTACATGTTGCGGTGACCAGGAGGTGAATAGGGGTGCCATTCACCTCCTAGCACATAGTAACACATGCTAGGCGCACTGTGTTGTAGTGTGCGTTAATCACACAATACCACTACATGCATCATGCACTACTTTATTTTATCACAACACACGGTATTGCAGTATCATGCATTGCGCTGCAACACATAAAAGCGAGGAGGTGCATTGAGGTGCCATTTAAATGAATAGCACCGCAACTCAAGACTCTTCTCTTCAGGGAAGCCTGTCCCACCTCAACCTAACCACTGAACTATCACATTCTCAAACAATTCATCCCCACACAGCTACCTCCTCATGTATCATTTCCCCCTCCTCTTTCAGATTGTAAGCCCTCAGGGGCAGGGCCCTCCTTACCATCCTGTCTTGAATTGTATTGTAATTGTAATGTCTTCCTTACATTGTAAAGCGCTGCGCAAACTGTTGGCGCTATATAAATACTATGTAATAATAATAACTCATCTAGCACATGGTAACGGCATGCTAGGTGATATTGTGCGATTAACGCAACGCTATGGTGTGAATGGGCCCTAAAGCTGGTCATACGCTGCTTGAATTTGAAGCTCTGGATGGCCTTGACGGCACCACCCAGCTTGACGAAAGATGATTTTTCAACTGACTTTTGTAGAAGGAGCTGTGTGAAATCTTTTCAGATGAACATTGACTGCATCCAATCAAATGCAGTTGCTGTCCTGGTATTCAGCATCCATGGGTCTTGCCGGCTGCCGAATTCAATAGCCGGCAGAGAAGATTCCTCCATCCTCCCTGTTTAGCATGGATGGGGGAATCAATTGATTTCTCTTGATTAGCCTTTGGGGGTTGAAGAAGAGAAATCTAAAGATGTATGGCCACTGTGTGCACTTTCAGTTCAGCCATCTCTGGGTACTACAAATGAATAGCCATCTGCCATCTCAGCTGAATTTTCTCAGCCTTCCACTATTGTTTCTCGGAGATAAAGTTGGTGCTCGGGGTGTTGACTCATTCTATAAACACACACACATGATTGGACTGCCAGGCCATTAAAAAGAAAAACAGAAATGAACATGACATGCTTATTTCCTTCATACATTTATGTCTCTATACATAACCATACAACTAAAAGAGAAGTTCAGAGCTCGGGTATCAGGCGCACAATGCAGCTGCCATTTTATGTTAGTGACCAGGCTGGAGAAGAGGGTGTGGAGGAAGAGAGATCAGGGTAGAAGTCTGGGCCTGGCCTCATACTGAGGGGTTATACTGTGCAATATGATGTGCTGCTTTTATGGTCAGACATAGATCTACCACTGCACACCCAACACAAGCTTCTTCAAGAAACTTTATTAGTCCAGATGGTCATAGGACAAACCCCAACTGGATCCTCCCACTTTGACACCACGTTTCACCCAGAACTGGGTAGGCAACGGATACAGACTGGGAGGAAACATTTAAGCTGGCCATACACTGTGCACCACTGTCAGAATACAATCGTTTAGTAGGTCATGGGACATTTGTTGATGGTGGAATCTATTATATTTTTTTCGTTCAGCCCACATGTTGAACGAAGAAAAAATAACAACAGTGTATGATGAGCTTTATACTCAAGATTGCACCATACAAAGCTGGCCATACATTCTGAGATTGTTCATGTTCAGTGTGAGCAATGTGTGGCCCCCTTAGGACCCCTCTCAGTAAACTTTTTTCTAAGGAGCCGGTCTGAATATTCTTGGCTGAACTGTGGCTGCAGTGGCTGTTCAGGTATTCTGACAGCTGCACACCCCCCATTGTATACTGACAGTAGCCAGTATACAATAGCCCAGTGAATGTGGTGGTGGGGAGGTTCCCATCCATCCTGTTTAATGTACTGTAGATGGGGTAATTGAGCCTTTTTCTGATTCAGCCCAAGGGGCCAGCTTTAGAGAGGATATAAAGACCAAAGGCCTGGCTAAAAGCCCCAAGACTCTAGTCCACTGCATCCCCCTCACATCTCATACAGCAACCTTCACCTGTCCTGCAAAGCCCTTAAAGAGCTCATTTATAATACAACTGTAATCATTTAAACTCCAAGAAGAGGAAACAATGTAACGTTAAAGTGAAGAATCTTACTATGGTGCTTTATACTGTACTAAATATAATGTAGGAAAACAGCTGGCTGGGCAGAGTAGTTAGGCCTCATCTCACGGTCCAGGAAAAAGTTGCTCCTCATGCACCCCCTATGGTAAAGCACTACAAAACTTTGATAAATATGCCCATTACATGAAAGTAAGAGATCAAAATTGCCAAAATTGGAGCAAACAGAATCTGGAG